TCTGCAGTGTTTGTTGTGGAATTTGTTCCTTTGCCTTAACTGCTCCTCTCTAGATATCATGGAGTTGAAAACTCTAAAGGGGTTGGCATTACATGACATCCTGACAGAGATACACCTGTTCGTGCACAGAGGTAACCTAGGTTCTTCCGCAGTTCAGAAGCTATGCAGAAGGTGGCATGCGTTGGGGTTGAGGGTGGCTGGAGAGGGAACGTGACGCTTCGTTTTGGAAACAGAAACAGGAATGAAGAGGTGTAAACCCGGCCCCTCATTTTCAGTTTTGTTTGGCTATTTAGTTTTTTTATTGGGTTGGCCAAAAAGTTCATTCGGGTTTAAATAAAACTAAAAGACACATTTTTAATTTTCGTGAAGAACTTTATTGAACGTATTCACTAACCGAATAAACTTTTTGGCCAACCCAATATCTGTGTGTCTGTGTCTTGCTTTTAAAACCTTGTTCCAAAAATACTTTTTTTTTTCATAAATTCATTTTTTTTATTTTATTCTTGGCTGTATTGGGTCTTCATTGCTGTGCGCGGGCTTTCTCTAGTTGTGGCCAGTGGGGGCTACTCTTCGTTGCGGTGCACGGGCTTCTCATTGCGGTGGCTTCTCTTGTTGCAAGAGCATGGGCTCTAGGTGCGTGTAGTTGTAGCACACAGGCCCAGTAGTTGTGGCGCACGGGCTTAGTTGCTTTGCAGCATGTGGGATCTTCCCGGACCAGGGCTCGAACCTGTGTCCCCTACACTGGCAGGTGGATTCTTACAAGGAAGCCCCCCAGATACTCTTTTGACTTCTAGAATGCTGGGGAAAAACAGGAAAGAAACTCCTAAAGGCTAACTTATTTCCTCCAAGGGTCTGTATTTTACAGTGGTATGTTGGAGTTTGTATTTCTAAAAGGCTATTTTCCCCAAAAAGAAAGGAGGAGGAAGATCTAGCTTCACAAAACCAAAGCAGCCTCAACTAAAGCATCTTTAGTTCCACACTTGGTCGTATGTCCTGTACAGAGAATTGCTTCTCTACCTTGAGAGCACATGTGAATCACCCCAGACCAATCCAGTTGGCCCTTTTGGGGGAGAACCAGACACGAGTGTGTCTTTGAGCTCTAAGTGATGTGCTCTTCAGCCTGTGGAGCAGCTCTGCCTGTCCAGCAGCCACCTGCAGACACTTGGGTCCATGAACACTGTTCCGCCAGTGCCTTTCCAGGCCTCTCCCTGGCTGGCTGGCATGTGAAATTCTGCCCAAGAACATGGTTGGCTCAGGCCCAGCTCTGCACTTTGTGGATGCTGAGCATGAATCGACTTTGAAAAATCAATTATTTATGTTTTTTGTTTTTTAACATCTTTATTGGAGTATAATTGCTTTACAGTGGTTATGTTTGTTTTTAAAATTGGGACAGCAGGGCTTCCCTGGTGGTGCAGTGGTTGAGAGTCCGCCTGCCGATGCAGGGGACACGGGTTTGTGCCCCGGTCCGGGAAGATCCCACATGCCGCGGAGCGGCTGCACCCGTGAGCCATGGCCGCTGAGCCTGCGCGTCCGGAGACTGTGCTCCGCAGCGGGAGAGGCCACAACAGTGAGAGGCCCGCGTACCGCAAAACAAAAACAAAAACAAAAATTGGGACAGCAAGTGAGAACTTCGCTTTCACAGTAACTTACAGAGCGGCCCAGTGCTGACAGGGCAGTGTGGATGGCTCTTCCATCTTATGATCACTCTGGAACCTGCTCATTTTTCTTTTTGGCTACCCTATGAAGACTAAAATGAATAAAAACTATGAAAACCTATGCAATTTTTACCTCCTAGAGGTGTGGTATCTTGAGATCTGTGGCCTCAAGAGGTTAGTCTTACGTATCTGATGTGGAAACTCATACTTCTGTGATTTTTTTTTTTTATATATAGTAGGTAATGACGGACCCCACTCATTTGATTTTGTTTTTCCCCCAGTTGACTTTCCATCTTCAGTTCGAATACATTTATTGACCAAAATGGCAGACATTGAGTGAGTATTTATTTCCCAGTTTTAATTCTTTTCCTCCTTTTTCCCCATTGTGAGTTTTTTGTTTCTCCTTGCTTGGTTTCAACTGTTTTGTCTAAATCATTCATATACAGTAGAGTTAGTTTTTGCTGGAATTGAATTATTGAACGAAGCACAGGGAAGGGTGTGAGCTGCTTATGTGAAGAACGTGGATAAACACAAAGACAGGTACAACTCGGTTACGCATTTGAGATAAAGGCCTCTCCTTCGACCTCAGACGCCTGGTCCACCTTGGTTCCAGACATGCTCTTGTTATTTGGGAAGCCTGCTTCAGTTCAGACATCTAGGTCATTTGGGGACGGCCAGCTATCCAGCTGTTATTAAGGCCTTCTGGCATACGAAAGCATATTACAGGGAAAGTAAACATAAACTCAATTTTCCACTTTGCCTGCTTCAGTAAACACAGTTATTAGCCCCCAGTGAAGCTGGCAGCTATCATTTAAGTAGACAAAAGCACTAGGTTCAAAATAGATGTCCACGTAAGCCAACTAATTTGCCGTCGTTGGCTTTCACACGTACCAATTAGGTCACTTCTTATCACTACACTGTGAGTAGCATGACTTTGCTTTCAATGGCTGGGCACTTGAAAGGTGGCAAGATGAAATACCAGTGTCTTGCTCTGTTGACCACAGAACCACAGATACGGACGGCAGCCAAACTTCCCAGTGAATTACGAGGAAGGGAATCTTAATTATAATTCCTCTCGATGCATTTTGCAGGTGAAGAAATAATGCCTAATCTCATAAATTTTGCATATCTGTGTAGAGCTTGAACAAAGTTAAGTTCAGAACACTGCTACTGGGAACAATTTTTTTTTTAATTTAATATTCCCCCCCCCCCCCCGCCCCCAGTTTGAATCAAATTTATAAAGGCGTGTTTGAGGCAACAAAAACGTTAGGGGACATGCATGAGATTGCTGCCCAGAATGAACTTCTCTCACCTCTTTCCAATCCTTCTCTGGCCAACTTTCAGTCTGACTGCTGTTGTTCTCTTCAAAAGGCAGCTGTTGTGATATTCTCTCTTCTTACCTTTTGTTTGATTTCTTTTAGGTACAGACTTTCTGTTGGCACCAATGAGAAGATACAGCTGAGTTCCCTCATTGCCGCCTTTCAAGTCACCAGAGACCTGATTGTCACAGAAGCCTAGATGCTGAGGACCACTTGCTGCCTATTCTCAGGCCCAGCAGTGACTGGAGAGCAGGGGACACAGTCACCCTCCCTTTCGGAAAATTGTTCCAGGCATGGGTGGGCAGACGTGTACCCAAAGTACCGTGTTTGTGGCTGGTTGGAGCAGGGATGTACAAAGCAGTTTTAAGGTACAGCTCTCTCACTGCACTGCCCATTTGTGTTTTATAAGGGGGGGGGGGGAAGTAAAACCTTTTTAGCCTTAAGGCTTTTACCCTTCAGTTGCCTGGGTGATAGGAAATGGGCTACCCCATTTGGAATATCAGGCTTTCAAATCTAATACAGTCCAAGTGTCTTCCAACTCAAGGTAAAAAGAACATCTTCAGAGTTAAGTTTGTACATCTAACCTGTGGCGCTACTTTAAATAGGTGTTAATGGATTTCTGGCCCCAACTATTATACTCTTATAAAGTGGACTCAATCTTCTTTCTTACTTTAAAACTGGCCTTTTTATTTCTCCTTTTGAAGTAGAGGAGTGGCTAGCAGGTTCCCAATTGTGGTGTGGACAGTAGCGAAAACATTCATTTTAAATGATGCTATTGGGGCCAGAGGTCATTCAACACTGGCTTGTTTAACCCAGGGCACATAAGACTAAGCCTGACTCTAAACCTGCAAGTGCTGGAAGGACTGAGACTCTTCCTATTTAATCTAAATGTACTGCAGTTTACCTGCGAGCATCTGTGCTGCGTGTGTGACAGTGCTCTGCACAACAAAAATAAAGCAGCTTGCTTGTTGTGTTACAAGTGACTCCTCTTTCCTTAGCCAATTATACAGACGCTGACTTGTTCAACTTGCATTTATATGAGAAAGCCTCCTCCGTCCCTGATATCAGAGAATCAACTTTCTTTGGAGGCTGTTCTTTATAAAGGTGTCCAATTCTTATATTATCAAAAGGGAGAAGTTGGTTATGTGCATCACACACATAGGCCTCGCTGCCAAAGGACAAAAGCAAAGTCTGAAGCAAATGGCTGGGGGTGTGGGGTGAGGGGCTCAAGGAGGCGGCCCAGAGCCTCTCAGACTACACTGTACATGATATTTCAAGATAACCACAAAACTTAATTTTGCCCAATCCATTCCCAGCTGTCTTGTTGTACTCACTAGTTTTAAAAGGTGGGTTTTTTTTTTCCTTAATGGAAAAAATGAAACGGCAAGCCAAAAGCTTTTAACTTTCTTTCCTTCGATGAAAGCCTCTCATCTTGAAATGTTTTTCTTTCAGCAACAAAGGCAGCAGAGGAGAGACTCCTCTGCTTTTTCAACACGTTTTATCATGGTACACAGGCCTCCACAAAGCACCTAGTAAGAAAGCCAAGGATAAGATGTTGCATTTCTTTTAAAATAATTTAAAATATATTAAATTTTCCAAAGGCAGATTTTGTTTGAATGAGGTGTCTTCATTAGATAACCATACGCCACGAAGAACAGTACTTTGAAGGAGCTAGCTGTGTTTAGGGGCAGAGTTGAGACTGGTGGATGAGTCCAATGAGGTGAAGCAGTCAAGTCAGATCTTGTACAGAAGAAAATCAGCTGAAATGATGACGACACCAATTCTTCACACAATTAAGAGACATCTTCACAACTGTTGGAATTAAGTACTATGGTTTTTAGATACCATTGAGAAAAACACAGTTGTACCTTAACATCTGTTGAGAAAATACAAATAAATATGCTAACTGGCGAACAACTGACAGATAACTCAGTAGCCACTGATACAGTCATGCAGTTGAGGAATACGTCCCGTGTAACATGACACACAAATCTGGCCTCCGGCACATGCACGCCACTGTTTCTTAAAAAAAAAAAAAAAAAAAGCCAAGTCTAGTGTCTGTATCAGGAGCATGGCCTCTGAGTCACCTGGACTTTAGTTAAGCTAAGTAATATCTCACCCTAGACGGCTCTGTGAAAACTGTCCCGTGGGTCAGAGGAAGGAAAGCCCTTGTCCACATCAAAGCGGCTCTGACCAGCAGGAGAGAACTTTCACCGACACCTCCTCTGCATCTGCATCAACGACGGACACTCCCATTCGAGGGAGTGGAAACTTCTTGGAATCAAAATGACCAGAGAGGGTCCAGCACTGCTGTCCATTAAGTGGACTGAAGGTTAAGGTCAGGCTCCGTCACTGCAGAAGTGGAATCCCTCTTCTACGACTGACCCTCACACCTCATGGGGAAGAGACTCCTGGCGAGGCCACTGGAATCTGGTTTTGCTACATTCTGTGTTCACAATCCCAAAGAGAGATTCTATTTCAATCCAAGACCAGATGTTTGGCCCATTGCTCCAGCTACTTGTCAGGAAGATTTATCCTGCTACAGAGGAAACAAGTAAGACTATGGAGACTGGCTTAAAAAGTTCTGTATGTGAGGAACTCTTTCATTTTCTTAGGGATTGGCAGCGCTAGCACTTGGTATGTTGTTAGGAAACTTCGCAGGGCTTTCCGGCATAAGTGCTTCAGTGATGACAGGACCCGAGGAGCCGTCCAGAACTGGACGTGGCCATCCCTTGTCCTGAAATGAGACGGAAACCAGTGCGTTATGGCAGACCTTGGAAATGTATGTTTTCACTGGGACAGATATCAATGTTTCTACTCTCACTTGCACTGGCAGGAGACTCTAGAGAGTGACACGCAGCCTGGACCTTGGAAATAGATATGGAGGCTGTGGCGCTGAGTAATTAAGGCTGCTGAGGGCAGCAGGAGAACTCAAGACACCTCTGGTTCCAAAGTGCTGTCTCTGTCAGTACAGCCCTTTATAAATCATACTATGGGTTCAAATGTAACAGGGAAGAGTGCCACCTGTTGAATTACAGATGTTCCCTGTAAGGTGGTCTCTGCCCTAAATGGTTTCCCATATAAATGCTGCATCGTCTTGATTTCTGCTTCCTTGCAGACTTGGCCTGTTAATAGCATGAATTTTAGATCTTTCACGTTGACATTTAGGCTAAATATTAAGAGTAAATGATAAACTCTATTAGCAGAAGAGAATATCAGAATTTTATGTAATCTCAGATTTCCTTAAAGCCTTCCTCACAGGCAAGAAAATTCTAGATGCTTTCTTTCCTTGAAAAGCTACGTGGAATACTCAGCAGAAACCACTACCCGTCTGCTCGGCTAACAGATACATACCCCGTGGCAATGACTCCGCCATGTGGAAAAAACGTGCAGCAGAGGCCATTGGTCATAGGGGCAAACGCAATTGGAGTTTTCAGTTCCAGGGCCCAGATCCTGAGGAGCCTGGAGGAGAAAGGGACGTGTCAGCAGACCTGGGGCCAGACCCCAAGGGTGATGCTACAAGCCCTTTCCAACGCTTGCTCTGAGGCCGCGGAAAGAGGTTTCTCTTCGTTACCTGTCATCCGCTACCGTGGCGAGGTACAAGCCTTCAGGGGAGAAGCACACAGATCTCAGGGAGCTGACGTGGACATCGCTGTCATCCATGGGGGGGTTGAGCTGGGTGTGGCTGAGGAGGACACAGGACAGTAGGTGGGCCTGGAGTGATGGCTGCCCTCCGCCCTCCGCCTTTCATCCCCAGGCAGGAGGCCAAAGTGCCATGGCCACAAAAAGGTTCCAGACATGTCTCGTACCCCGTGTGGAAAACCTGGGGATTTGCAGACTGGAAAAGACGACTGGAAACAAGTGCATTTCATACAGCTCCAGTGTCTTGTGGAGGGGGCTGAAGGATTACTAATATTCCCTGTGCTAATTTCCTTATGCAAAGTAGGTCAGCCCTCGCTTTAATGCCACAGTACAAACTGAAAGTCTTTTTTAGGCTAAGATACATGATAATTATAGGACTACCTATTATTTGCTTCAGAAAACAACAGAGACAAAGGGGAAAAGTAGACCAAGTTGGTGAGAACATGAAAATTCACTTTGGAAATAACAGTTTCAATAAGATGATCATTCTGAACCTGTTACTACAGTTATTAGTAAGTGGAAAGAAAGAGTCACTGTGAGGTTTCGTAATGCTGAATCCAAAGCAGTACAGAGAGCCTCCTATAGCCGGAGACTTGAAGGCACTCGGGGCTAATTTGAGAATTGACAGTGAAACACTGCTGCACACCAGTGCCTCAGAATAAGCACGAACACACTGTGTCCTGGACCAAGACAGGTTTCCCATCGAACACCCCACCGGGAAGTGGAAGCGGGGAGGCAGTCCTTACTGGAGTGACCGTAGCCGCTCGCCAGTGTAGGGGTCCCACATGATCACATTGGTATCGTAAGAAGCCGTGACGAGCAAGGCAGAGTCAGGGGAGAAGTCGCAAGAGACGACGCTGCTCTGGTGGCCCTCCAGCTTCCGGATTAATGTGTAGGACCGCATGCTCCACAGGAAGACCTGTGGGAAGAACAGGTGCCTGGTCAGGGCGGAAACAGTGCTCAAGACGTGAACAGTGAGGAGAAGGCACAGCCTTGCCTCTCCAGGCCGCACAGCCAGGGGAAGCTAAGTGCTCCAGCCCCTTTTCTATGTTTCTTCTAGAACATGTCATACTGGCCTAAATAAAGTGACAGGTCTGAATTCTTGAGGCACAGAACCAACAGACATGCTCAAGGAGCTTACTTTAGGGGAGAATCAACCAACCGACCTCAGGAAGACAGCAGCCAGCATGGCTCAGGGGAAGCTTCTGGGTCCTGCTTCTGAGCGCTCTTAGCAAATAGGGCAGTGCATGCTGAAGACCTAAGCCAAGGGCTACCTTGTCCTTTCACTTGAAACCAAAATTAGGGGTCAGAGGTGAATTCCTAGTCACCCAACAGAGCCATCTGACACCCGCCTCTGGTTTACAGGACCACAGAAATCTGCCCCACGGCTGTAGGTCTGACCTAGCTCCTTACTTGAAACCTTTCTGAGAATTAAAAGAAGTATTTTCTTTTTTTTCCTTTAAGAAAACTCTCACTTTCACATAGTTCCAAACCTCAAATCAATGATTAACCACCTGAGCTGTACCAAATAGTGAACTCTTAACTTTCCCAAGTCGGTCACAGCAAACAACAGCTCAATGCAGATGTAAAACTCAAAACAATCGGTTCCCAAACTGTTCCTGGGTTTCTAGTACTTTTGTTACAATAGACAGGATTTCAGGACAAAGTTCAACGAGTTACTGTACATTTTATGATTTGAATGGAAATCCTAATTAGGTGGATTCAAATTAGATGGTTCAAAGGAAATCTGGATCCACATGTGGGTTGCAACTTTTAAAATCATAGACTCCAACAGGGAAAGAAATTTTAAAAACATGGCTTTCCCATCTTGTGAAGGCAAAGAGCCCTCCCACGACATGACGGGAGCGACCTGCTTCCAAACACCTCCTCTCGTTTGGTTTGTGTCAAAGTGCAAATCAGAAAAGGAGGGGCCTCAGCCCGGCAGCGTGCCTCCCGCTGGGGCTGATTTGCAGGCGGCTTTCAAGGACACTGGCTCACTTACCCTCTCACGCATGAGGCCGCTTCCCTGAACTGAAGCAACAGAGCAAAGGGCACCCCAAGTTTGAGACTCACCGACTTCTCCCCAGCTGCAGAACACAGCATGCTGCAGTCTGGCGAGATGGAGCAGCAGTAAACCCACTGCAGGTGGCCCGATAACACCTGAATCTGTTTACCTGTCAGAGAAATGGAGCACATGGTGAGCCGACTCCCAAAACCAGAGCAGGAAGCCTGAAGAACCGGCAGTGGTGCCTCCCCCCAGCCCCACCCACTATATCCAGCGGTTCTCTAGCAGCTGAGCCCACGGGCCCCTTTTTTAATGCAGAGAAAGAAATATGACAGGATTTATCATTTAAATGCCTGAAATCTATTAACATGACGTTATAATGCCCAAGGGAAATCATTACCTACTGTTTCACCAAAATCCACAAGGTCAGTGGGACAAAGGCTGTCCACAGATCAGGTTTGATACATTCCTTTGATAACAGAGAACATTCTTTTCAGGTCCCCCAACCACCTCGGTTACTCTGAAGCATCCTTCCAAATTTGAAAGTGTTTACCTTCAATTCTCTGTCATTTATGCTCTGTAATGGTTTCCCCCTGGCCACAAGGATCCCACTCTCACCCTCCTCCCACCCTCGCCAGGATGTCCGGATGAGCAGTGGTGCAGCATAATTAGGGCCACATGCTCTGGAGGCAGGTAAACTCAGCCTTGAATCCTGGCTCCACTGTTTACTCAGCGCATAACCCTAGGTCACTCACGTCATCTCTTCAGATCTCCATCTGGGAAAAAGCTAAATGCCCATCAACAGAGGAATGGATGAATAAAGGGTAGTATTCCACCTGTTAAGTCAGATGAAATTAAGGAACTAGATTTTCCATGGAGTACTGTCTAATAAAAAAGAAAAATGCAGAAAAAATGTGAAGAATATGATTCCATTTTTGTGAAACAATGACCACCAAATCCATAAATGTAAAAGTGAGTGTCTGGGACTTCCCTGGTGGCACAGTGGTTAAGAATCTGCCTGCCCATGCAGGGGACACGGGTTTGAGCCCTGGTCCGGGAAGATCCCACACGCCACGGAGCAACTAAGCCTGTGCGCCACAACTACAGAGCCTGCGCTCTAGAGCCTGTGAGCCACAACTGCTGAGCCCATGTGCCAGCGCGCCTAGAGCCCGTGCTCCACAAGAGACGCCACTGCGATAAGAAGGCTGCGCACAGCAACAAAGAGTAGCGAGTAGCCCCCGCTCACCGCAACCAGAGAAAGCCCGCGTGCAGCAATGAAGACCCAACACAGCCAGAAATAAATAATTTTTTAAAAAGTGAGTGTCTGAATAGGATTACGCAAGTATAGAGAAAAATATGGAAGGCAATATGGAAGGGTCTTATTTAGCATGGGTGACAGGACTGCAGGGGGATTATGGAGGAATGCAAAGGAGGGGAGGATGAGAAAATTTGGGGGGAGAAGCCCCAAAAAAGGGGGGAAGAATGTATATGGTCATACATATGCATTTAAGAATTCATGTGTATGTGTGGGCATACAGAAATAAGTTTTATGAAAGTCAGTCATGGTTTCTTCAGCTCTCAAGTAAGAAGCGTACCTGCTCCCCCGGGGTAGGTGTGAGTGAATAAATCAAGGCAGGGTGGGAGGGCAGGGCCCCGTGCCTGGGGACACTACTTTAGTCCCCTCCTCTCCTTGAAAAGCCCTAGTAACTGGCCTAGTCCATTCTGCCCACTCTCAGCCCCTTCAGCGAGTCCTCCCTCCCTGCCTCAGATGGTGGCAAGGTGCCTGCGACACTCATTAAAAAAGGCGCTGCGGGGCTTCCCTGGTGGCGCAGTGGTTGGGAGTCCGCCTGCCGATGCAGGGGACACAGGTTCGTGCCCCGGTCCGGGAAGATCCCACATGCCGCGGAGCAGCTGGGCCCATGAGCCATGGCCGCTGAGCCTGCGCGTCCGGAGCCTGTGCTCCGCAACGGGAGAGGCCACAGCAGTGAGAGGCCCGCGTACCACAAAAAAAAAAAAAAAAAAAAGGCACTGCGTCTGATCACCCTCCCAGTCAGCAGGCCCACCTCAGACCACACAGCCACAAGCTCCACAGCAACAGGCAGACAGGACCCAGGGCGCGTTGCGTGACTCGATGCCTTCAGATGAGGACACCACAAGCACCTCCTTAGTTGCCTGACAAGTTATCAGGCTCGTTTCTGAGAGGGCAGGGACGGGGCCCCTCTCGTGGTGTGGAGAGCTGCACAGTCACCGCTCGGACTCTGCATCATCAGGGACGAGGGTGCTCTTCATGAACCGCCCACGTCCCCATTTCCTCCTTCCACCTCCCTCCACGCCTGCGAGGGAGAAGTGGCCCGGCAACCAATTCCCCTTCCCTGTGTCACCCTCCCAGCTGAGGAGAAACACCAGAGATGTATGGAATTCTCCGTCGGGCTGCTCCGGGATACAGTCCTGCTTAGAGCAGAACTGCACTAGGGCTGACCGCCCCCCTCCCCACCCCAGCCTGAGAGGATTCTCGTAGACCTAGATTCCACTGTACAAAGAAACTTTACTTCTAACAGGAAGTACCCAACATGGATGACTTCTTCCAGATCAGTGGTTCTCAACCCGGGGAGGCTGTGGCCTTTATGTTGACACTGGGCTCTGTCTGGAGACATTTTTGGTTATCACAACTAGAGAAGGTGCTACTGGCATCTCACGGGTTAAGAGGGCAAGGATGCTGCTCCACACCAGAATGCACAGGAAGGTCCGTAACAAAGAATTATCCAGCCCAGTATGGCAAGAGTGCCACAGCTGAGAAAACCTATTCTACACCATGTGTTTTCGAGAGGGGTGAAAACTGGTTCCTGATGGCCAGAAAAATCTGACCTTTTTAATGTACAAAGCACAGATACACATCCAGTACCTGAAGAGATATTCAATGTATTTTTGGCATGAAAATCTCCCAGGTGGTGAGGGGGCTGGGGAGGGTGACTAGGAGAAACATGTCTAAAAAGTCTCCTCAGGAGGCAATAACAGAAAAAAAGGTTGAGAAACACTGTTCTGGATAAAATGACACTGGTCAAGTAGAGAGAGGGGCAAATACAGTATTTTGGGGTTGCCAAGTCATTCCGTCACCTCCATACCATGTTTATTCAGGTCCCAGATGCGAAGAGTCTTATCTCGGGATGCAGAAACCAAAATCAAACTGCCACTGGGTGTGAAGCTCAGATCTCTCACGACGTCTTGGTGGCCAGACAGATTCAAAAGCAGGAGCCCTAGCGTGAGAGAGAGGGGCACTCGATCAGGGGGAGAGGCAGCTCTGGCCTACAGGTCACAGCCACGCCCCTCAGCCAACTGGCGGCCCCTCTGGTCCCTGATCGGAATGTGCACGAGAGCCCCCTGGGGCCTGATCCCAGCCAGAAATGACCTACCTGTCTGTACCTCCCAAATCTTGATCTGCCCATCGTTGAGCCCTGTAGCAAGAATCAGGCAAGAGACGTCTGGCACCTGGGGATGGTGGCGTGCCCAGAGCTTCCTGCTGGGTGGAGAAGGCCACGGGCTGAAGGCCAAGCCCCAGACAATCTGCCCACAGTCCAGCGTCTTCTCCTTTGGGCTGCCTCGCCCTTTTGTATCATTTTTGCTGCTTCGGCTTTTGGCTTCGAACCCTTTAGGGATGCTGGGAAAAGCAGAGAGTTCTTAATGAGTCTGAAATTGCCACCAAGTCAATTGACTTTTCATTCTGGGGTACCTAAGCCTTTGAAATCCTAGAAACAAATAGGCCTTCAGTGAATTCTAGTACGACCTTTCTTCTTGTTTTTTTTTTTAGAATTCGTGTAACAGAGACTTCACTGGCCGTGGCTCATCCCATCTGTGACAGTCCTGCAGTGGGGCGACCTGCCTTGTGGGATAACTAGATCACAGATGCTCCAGGGAGCCATTTGCTTCTTCAGAAAGTTCTCCTGGGTTTTGGTGCGTGGAAGGAAAGATGCACTCCATGTTTCTCATGAGAAAGAAAGCATGCTGTAGATTTGGAACTAGGACAGAACTTAGAGCCTGAATAACCATGTGCCACTCTTCTGCCTCATACCCCCCTTATCTCTAGCTTAGAAAGTCCCCAAGGAGCAGGAAAATAAACCCAATTTTCGGGCCAACAGTTTGCTTGGTACATGCCAATTTCCACCTTCACTTGCTTTGCTCCAATCAATGAATGAGGCTCTTTCATTTACTTCTCTGATGGCACATCCAGTCCACGAACCAACCAGCAGGGCAGTGAAGGGAAGAACTCACAGAGCTGTTAAGGGGCACGCTGACCTCAAAGATCTCGTGGCCCAAGCCTTTCCTTTTACCTTCAACTTATGCTGAAACACAGGCCCAGACAAGCTAAATAAGACTCCGTCCCTAAGAAACAGGGCCCTGCCCACCACTCTGCCTCGCAGACAATGTCTCAAAGGCATGAGCAATTCAACAGTCCTGGGGTTCGGCCTGCAAACGCAGAACCCTTATCTGTAGTACACTTTATCACTGTAAGTATTCAGTCCTGCTTTGCTACATGGCCACACTCCGTGGTTTATCGAACTGGGGGAAAGAGTGATGATAAAGCTGGGACTCATTTCCATGAAAAATCCTATAGCCAACATACATGCAGCTGAACCTCTTTCTGTATTACATCTATTCCCGAAAACTTAAGTAAGTCATATTTTTGCCAATCGCATCATCGAAATATATTAAAGAATTTTAAGCAAGCTCACCTACAGAACTAGAAGGGAGAGACTGTGGCAAACGTGGGCTCCTTCAACTCTGAAAGTCTGTCATTCTAAAGCAGAGGCTGCGGGAGTGTGCCCGGGATGGCAGTCTGTTCTGTACGTGAAGCCGTCTCCCACCTCCACCAGGCTCGTCTGCCCACCTCTCGCCTAGGGACGTGTTCACGCTCGAGCAGCAGAGCTGACTTGTCTTGACAGAGACATACGGCCCCCAAAGCCAGAAATATTTACTATCTGGGCCTTTATAGAAAAAGTGTGCCGACCCCTGGTCTAAATGGCCAAACGTGGTCTGAAAATGTGTCGTTCTGACAGAACATCTGAAATGTGACACTGAATGTCTTTTCAATGAAGCCCACCCAATCCACATCCGGCCCCAGCCAGGCCGACACATACACTTCGAAGACCTGCCCAGCCCTGACTCGGGGGCCTTAGTTGGCCATACAGGGGAGAAGCACAGAAAAGGCAAGCTATGGGGAGAGCTCTGTAGGCCAGCTCAGAACCTCCAAAGTTACCTTTTTTTTTTTTTTTAATAAAATCCTGATTTCTGTATTTGAATTAAGGGATACATCTGTAGCTACTTTATTCCAAAGGAATTAAGGCACATTGGCATAGTAATTCATTTTACTATCATAAATTTAACATGTTAGGGGTAGAGATAACTTTCCTGGGGTCACAAAATTGGGGGCAGAACGGGAACTAGTAGTCAAGTCTTGGGTGTCCTAGCCTAGTGTTCAGCACATGCCCTGGACTTCAGAGTCTGCAATGAATTCAAGGGATGAGCTACATGGGAGGTGGCAGACACGACTGTGGGAGGGGGCCGCTCGGGGCCAGGGACAGTCATTAGGAGAATTTAACTTCACCAAAACTGAATCTTCAGAAAATTTTATTTCTAAAAGTAGTAGTACATTTATCTAGTTATTATCAATTATTTGCTCAATATCAAAAGCTCTACATTATATGATTTTTTAAATGTATAACAACCCTAACAAGAATATAAAGGCCCCAGATTTCCCCTTTTAAAGGACTTTTAAAATAACAATTATTTTAAATTATAAAATTAATAGTGAAACATGGGGAAATTTTGGAAATGAGAAAATTATAAAAATTACCCAGATCCTAATACCACTCTAACCACAGTAAACACTGTACGATGAATTTTTAATTTATGTGTACATTCACATGTTATTCAAAAACAAATTTGGGATCATACTGCAAATACAGTTTCATAGCTTGCTTTTTTCAGTAAGCCTTGTACTGTAAGCATTTCCTCAAGTTATTATTCTTCAAAATGTGTGATTTTTCCCTAAAACAAGTAACTGCTCATTTAACATATTAAACAATATTTCCCTCATTATATTAAACAAAAGATACACATAAAGGGTTAATGCTCAAATTTACATTTTCCCTAATATTGGAAAGATATATTTATGTATAGTAATATATATATTTGAATACAAGAGTGATTTTCAAGGAAGTAACAGATTTCCCACTTTATGCTTTTTAAAAAATACTTTTCCAGACTATATATCAGATTTAAGTCTGGATATGAAGTTGAGTCCCTTGTATTTAGACTGGGGGAACCAATAAATAATGATCTTGGCATCACCATTAAACTGAGTATAGAAGGAACTGAAAATTGTGATTAAAAAAAACAAAAACACACACAACAATCTCTGATGGCTACAGAAATATACAGCAATGCCCAAATTTCCTTAAGCGTTCTCTCATCACCAGATTTTAAGCTATTTCTGATTTTTAACTACCATATGATTAATTTCATGTTGAAAATCAGTGTATGTAAATGGATGACCTCCCATTTGCGGCAACATGGATGGACCTAGAGATTGTCATACAAGGTGAAGTAAGTCAGACAGTGAAAGACAAATACCATGTGATATCACTTATATGTGGACTATAAAAAAATGGTACAAATGAACTTATCTACAAAACAGAAATAGAGTCACAGATGTAGAACACAATCTTATGGTTACCGGGGGGAAGTGGCGGGAGGAATAAATTGGGAGATTGCGATCGACATATACACACTACTATATATAAAATAGATAACTAATAAGGACCTACTGTATAGCACAGGGAACTCTACTCAATATTCTGTAATGACCTATGTGGGAAGAGAATCTAAAAGAGAGTGGATATATGTATATGTATAATTGATTCATTTTGCTGTACAGCAGAAAATAACAACATTGTAAATCAACTGTACTCCAATAAAAGTTTTTAAATAAATAAATAAATCGATGACCCCATTTCTGAGATTCCTAATCGCAGGAAGAGCAGTTTTAAGGTCCTCGAAATGGCCTTCCTTCCAGCAAGTGCACAAATTTATACTCCTCAACCCCAGCAGCGTGCAGAGTACCCATCTCAGCAAATTTTCATCAGCGTTACCTATTATCAAGGCAACAAGTTTCAGACTGAACTTATAAAAAACTTAAATCTAACGTGCTACTTGTAAGAAATGCTTAAAGCAAAACAAATGAGACCCTCATGGGCAGGGGCCATGTTTGATTTATTTCAGGATTCTCAGCCCCTGGCTCTGCGTCAGGCAAGGAAGACTACAACAACTGTTGGGTGAGTAAATAAATACAGACATAGAGTTGCCCTGTGACAAATGAAAAAAATACTGATGCTGGGCCATCTGACTGGGAGCTCACAGCATTCAGATACTGGGACTTGTCCAGCCCAGAGACAGAAAAGCTAGATAATATCAGGAACTGAACTTGGTTGATAATAAAAAAGGCAACTAGCCAATTTTAAAATGGACCAAGGATCTGAATAGACATTTCTCCAAAGAAGACATGCAAAGGGCCAATAATCACATGAAAAGGTGGGCAAGATCAGTAGCCAACAAGGAAATGCAAACCAAAACCACAATGAGATGCCACTTTGCTCCCACTAGGATGGCTATACTATAATCAAAGACAGTCGAGGGCTTCCCTGGTGGCACAGTGGTTGAGAGTCCGCCTGCTGATGCAGGGGACACGGGTTCGTGCCCCGGTCCGGGAAGATCCCACATGCTGCGGGGCGGCTAGGCCCGTGAGCCATGGCCGCTGAGCCTGCGCGTCCGGAGCCTGTGCTCCGCAGCGGGAGAGGCCACAATAGTGAGAGGCCTGTGCCCGCAAAAAAAAAAAAGACAGTCGATAACAAGTGTTGGTCAGGATGTGGAAAATTTGGAAATCTCCAACATTGCTGGTGGGATTGTAAAATGCTGGAACCACTTTGAAAAACAGTCTGACAGTTCCTCAACCAGTTAAACATATACAAAAACATATATCCACACAAAAACTTCACATAAGTGTTCACAGAAGCATTATCTAATAGCCAAAAAGTGAAAACAACCTGAATGTTCACCAGTGGATAAACTTATAAACAAAATGTGGTGTCTCCATAAGATGGAACATTATTTGGCAGTAAAGGGAAATGAAGTAATGAAGCATGCTACAACACGGATAACCATAAAAACAGTATCCTAAGTGAAAGAAGCCAGTCAACTGACTACACAGTGTATGATTTGATTTGTACGAAATGTCTAGAGTAGGCAAATCTACAAAGACAGAAAGTAGATTAGAGGCTGCTCAGGGCTGGAGAGCAGAGGGGGATTAGAGGGTTTCTTTTTGGGGTGACAAAAATGTTGTAAGACTGATCATGGTGATGGTTGCACAACTCTGGATATTCTCAAGTCACTTAGCTGTATACTTTATTTTTTTGGTGAAAGACAAGTTTACTTGCCTCCAAAGGACTCAGGTAATTTAGGGAAATTTAAAATACAGTTAGTTGGTAAGGGGGAGTCGTCCCTAACCAGCAGCTGCCGGATAATCAAGCCTAACTACCCAGCTGGGCCTCTGGCTGCACACTTTAAATGGGCAAACTGTACGGCGTGTAAATTATATCTCAGCAAAGCTGTTAAAAAAAAGAAACTCAGGGCTAACATAATCTCGATGGAGTTAATTTTCACAGGTACAGAATGTGGGACCCTGGAAACCTCACTGATCCAATTCCTGAACTGTTTTGGCCACCTTGCCTCTCCTGCTCTCGGGCAGGGAGCCATCTGGGAGAGCGCTCAGTTCCCCAGGACTCCCTCACTCCCTTGGGTGTGAAAGAACTTACAACTGCTCTTCCAGCGGCCAGGGGATCAGCTTGACAATGCAGTGTCCTTGAGACCAGGCGAACCAGGAACCATCCGGAGAGAAGGCAACGCTCCACGTTTCACAGCTTGACTTCCAATCAAACTGATGGGGGCGCCCGGGCTTGAGTTCGGCCAGCAGCAGTGGCTCCTCTGGGGCAGGAGACAGCATGCTTCAAACAGGCACCCTCACCTCGAGGGTAAGGGCAGAACCAGGCCCCTGACCACCTTGCTGACTCAGAAACTGGAAAGCCACCGAGGTCTCCCCATGGCAAAAAGTGACAGTCCGGATTCTGGGAGGGAGTTGTCATTTAAATGACCTGGGGCACTAACAGTAGCCACAGGCTGAATTCCAGTGGGGTTACTCAGTGCTGGCACTCCTGACTTCTGGTTAACCGTGACTCAGAGTAACCTTTGTAAGAGTGAATCCAGTGAAGGGAGGTCTGATTTTCCTATGAAAGCCCGAAGAGGAAGAAAGGAGACAGGCCAGGCAAGGATCAGACGGTGCTGATCAGGAAGCCTTCAGATGCACTTAAGGTCTCTCCAAAAGAACCTGCTACTGGGAAACAGGTGAAAGGAGGAATATCTGAAACTCACAGGCTCCCTCTCACTCCCCGTCATCCTCCCCATCATCAAGGCTAAAATGTTCAGCACTGGCCCTGCTTCCTGTCACTCAGACTTCTTGATCTGGCCTCCCACTTCCATCTCCTCTCTGTTCTGGCCTAAACCTTCATCCCATCTTGCTCCGATCTTTTACAAGACTCTCCTGATGCATTTTCTCCTGCCCCCAGGGACCCTGCTGAAGCTGAAACGCACATCACAGACAGTTCTTTCAAATACATTCCAAAGCTCCCACCTGCCTACCAGATAAAGGCAGCTGAGACCCGGCCTCCCAGCCCACCCCACCGGCCCCAGCCTTCCCTTTCCGGTCGTCTCCCTGCACGCCACACGCCGGCCACACACACCTCCCTGTCGTGCCCCAAGTAGCTCATCTGAGTTCACACCTAGACTCATTTTCTGCTTATGAGAATCCCACTGAGATTAGCAACCCAGAAGCATACCCAGATCTCACACTATCAAAGCGGAAGTAAGTCCCACTCTCCTTATTTCTTTCTCTCCTGTAGTGACAAGTTTCCCTCTGCCCCAACGCCACCCCCAGCTGGGAATTTACGCAGCCGCCTTCAAACACCAAGCCGATTCAATCCTTGTTTCTTTATTTTTTGGGGGGGGGCGGAGGGGGGAGGCTAGCACAGCGTCCTGTGAAGGGCGGGGGCTGGACTGGTGCTTCTTCATTGACCTGAAGGGCAGTCCCCAGTTCAAGTCTCCCCTACAGCGGAAGATTCTCAATGGCTGACAAAGCTTGTAAGTTCAAGGCCTTCAGAACTGATTTTTTGATCGCTACGATTGTGTTACCTACGAATATAAAAACTGGCTTCCATCCTGAATGAGGTCACTGTCTGATGTGTATGTTCCACTTTAGCAGTTTTGAGACTTTGACCTTTTTATAGCTGTTACCAGATAGATACTAATTTAAACAGCCCCTATTTCGTATATTTTAGGACACATCTTTATAAGTCTTCTCAGTTTGACCTTGTTAAAATCAGGATGTGTCAAGCGATGACTTTTCATAGTTAAATAGGCAGTATTTTTTTCAGTGACACATATTGGCAATACAATCCATGATATCCTGGATTCAATGAAACAGACGGTAAACATGCATATATGTAAATAATATTTATACGTATATATATATTTTTTTCTGACATGCATTATAGGAAAATACATGGGTATATCTTGTTTCATGAAATAAATGTATTGCTGAAAATTCTGTCTTTAAATAGAATTTTAATAAATCATATTAAGCCTTTATGGCTTTGTTATTTAAAGAAAATTTAAGGAAGTTTCCTTTGTAAAGAGAATATTAATTCCCTGAGGTTCTATGCTTAAATCTAGGTTTTAATATATCAGATCTGTCTAAATTGGCATTTGTATACGCCCAGGTAATTCCTCCTAGAAATCTGTGTTTGCACAGGCGATCCTTTCACTTACACAATTACTTGTGTATCTGAGCACAGTCCTCTGGATGTGAGTATCTGCATGGTAAGAAGTTACTTTATACTGTAAATCCAAAACAAGACTCAGTGTTACGCAGCAACCCCGTGGCGTTTATTCCCATTATTTCTAGATACCTTCTTAAGGTAAACGAGCCCTATTCTGTTAATGCCTCCTCATGGGGTCCAGTGGTTCTCAGCCGGGGGCACTTTTGCCCCCCAGGGACATGTGGCAATGTCTGGACACATTTTGGTTGTCGTAACCAGAGGGGGTGCTACTGGCATCTAATGGGTGGAGGCCAGGGATGCTGCTCAACATCCTACAGTGCACAGGGCAGCCGCTACAACGAAGAATTATTTTGCTCAAAATGTCAGTGGTGCTGAGGTTGAGAAGCCAGATGGAGTCAAATATTAAATGACATTGACTGATCTGGAGGTACATTTTCATCACCTGACTTCATTCCACCCTGGTAATGTTCACACTTGGTTCGCTTCCTCCACAATACGCACGTTATCCATCCTTTCGACACCATGGAGGCTCCACACAATATGAAAAGGGGTCACCCCTGACTTCTCTCTTTTCTTTACCTCCCAAACCAAATCCATTAACTAGTTCTACTGCATCTGCTTCCAAAAGACTTGCCAAACCTAACTTTCCTCCATCTCACGGCTGCTATTCTAACCTATGCAACATCGTCTCATCCAACATTGGCTCGTATATGCAACATCAGCTCTCACTAAGCAGACTCCTAGCTCCCTCTGCTAGGAGACTGCTCTCCGGACTCCCCCTCTGGCCCCCACCACCCATTCTCCTCACCTTTCAGAGTGATCAGTTTCGATCACTCTTGGAATAAAATCCTCACCCTGCCCTGGAAGTCCTGCACACTGGCCTTCTCTCACCCCTCGACTATGCTCAATTAGTTCCGACCTCAGGGCCTTTGCACCAGCTATTCTCTTAGACTGGAATGCCTGCATGCCTGGCACCTTCTCTTCATCCAGGTCTCGGCTCAAATGACAACTCCTTAGAGAGCCCTGCTCTGATCCCAAGTCAATGTCCTTCATAACTCCTCACTTTATTTTCTTTACAGCACAATCACCATTATGATTATTATCCGTCTCCCTCCAGTTAGGACATCAATGCCACCGACAGAGCAGGGACCTTGTATGTTTATCCCCAGTGCCTAGCAGAGTTCCTGGCAGACAGCAGGCACTCAGTAAATATTTGTGGAATAAATATACATGGTATCTCTCTATAATATAAATGAAATGAAGCCCCTTAGACTATTATGATGCCTTTGCCAAACATTTTACATGAAATGCTTCTTAAACATAAGCCATACCCAGATTTCACACTCTATTTCTGTGATTTGGGGATTTAATCTCTTGCTATTTCAGGCTCAAGAATCCAAGGACTAAAATAAGAAAAAAAACGAAGGAACTACGGAGATTCTGAAGAGGAGGCTGGGCCCAAACTAAACTTGGCTGCTGGAAAAGAAAGCCATAATTAGTGCAGAACTTTAAAAAAAAAAAAAAAAAAACCAGAGGCAAGAGGATCCAGCTTCATCTGGGATTGTACCTGCCCTGGCCCTTCTTGCTGAAAAGGCCTATGGATCTGAGTTTTCTAATTAAACACTGGGATGTGTTTGGATAATCAGGCAGAGTGGAAAGACATTTACCATGGGCCTCTTCTGTGAAAGGAGATTTGCCTGAACACAGAGAGAAGCTATGAGTGACTCTAGCCGGCAGGAAGCTTGTTGATTTGTCCTGCCTTGAGATCTCTACATGAGATGTTCCATCCGTTCAGAAAACTCTGCCTGGCTGGCCCCAGATCCTCGCCCAGCTGCTCTGCCTACCCTTCAGGCCTCAGTGCTGGTGTCACCTTCTCAGAGACCTTCCTGGCCTCACTATCCAAAGTGGCCCAATCACTTTCTTTTCACTCCACTGAATTTTCTTTATAACTATCACTCACACAACTTCTCTTGATTGCTTGCTTCCTTTTATGTAACTGTTGTTTCTCTCTTCCCCACCCTCATTCCGAACTGTTCACTGCTTTTGGGCTGTGCTGTCCAATACAGTAACTGCTAGCCACACGTGGCTACTGACCTTCTGAAATGTGGCAAGTCCCAATTACGATGGGCCATTAGGTACATGATACATACTTTACTTCAAAGACGGTACAAAAGCAAAAATCTAAAAATTTTCAATAATTATTCATGATTACGTTATAATGATAATATTTTAGATATGCGGGATTGACAAAGATATAATTTTAAAATTACTTTCACCTGTTTCACTTTTTTTTTTTAAACACAACTACTAGAACATTTCAAATTGCATATGTGGCTCGCGTTATATTTCTATTGGCCGGTGCTGGCCTAGAGAGTGCCTGGCCCATAGTAGACACTCAATAAATATTTGAATGAATAAATACATTCTAACCACTACTCTGAAGATATCTACTGCTGTCCATTACAATTAGTCCCATTACAATGGTCTTTATTCAGTTTCAAAAGAATAAAACTCTGGCCTTTTTTTTTTTTTACCGGTAGCTTGGCAGCTCTCAACAGCTCAGCCCACACCCCAAAACACAGTCGTCAATCATTAGGAAAAACCCAGAACTGGAAACAGATTCCTGCTGAAAAGGGAAGCTAGCTCCAGATCGCTTTCAGATATAAACTAAAAGGAGTCAATGGAATAGACAGCGGAAGCTATAAAAAGATTCACATAAGATTTCAGACAAACAGTAGGGGCCATTTAACAACAGTTCTATGGGTAACAAACTCACCGAAGAGAAAGCCCTTATCTAGATGGGAAGGCAGAGAGAGCTACCTCTACACCTGGTACTGAATGCCTTACTCCAGCAAACAAAGAAATGTCATTTCCCAAATTAAAAAGTTACACCACCCCAGGGAAAACCCTGATTTCAACCCACCCACCCACAATCCCTGCTCCATCAAAGAAGCCAGGGAAACACAAAAACATCCACGATCAGAATCCTCCAGACCAGAATGAAGCTTGAACTTCACTGGAAGAATACAAAGAGGTTCTGGAACAAATTCTGAGCCTAGGCCTTGACCCCCTTCTGAGAAATTTCCCCTCAGGAAACCGTCTTTAAGCATGGGAGTATATTCAAGAGTTGGGACTCCCAGAATAAATCACAAGCCCACTCCAAATTTCTATTAGTGGGGTTTAGGGGCAAAGTGGTTGGAAAGAAGAAGCCTGAAGGACGCGTCTTGAGGTTTGGCCTTTGCATAACAAGCACACCATTCCCACTGAGGCTGCATGGTCATTTGGGCTGACCCTCCAAGTGCTTCCAATATTCTCCGACTTCCACACCGTTTTCTGATGACAGCTGTTAACAAGGAGAGGCAAGTACCTCACTCATCGGTGTATCCTAAACTTGTCCCCTCATCCATGTCACCAGGGATCGGCAGCTCGGCTCTACAAATCAGTCTCTATTGGGAGAGGCTTGGAATATGTTTTTTCAATAGGGATTCCAGACCCCATTTTCACGCACAGACAAGTTTGGGAAGCTCCCAACCACCCGCTGAGGCAGATACTATTATTAACCCATTTTGCAACTACAAAACAGACTTGGGTTAAGCGGTTCGTCCACGATCACACAGCCTGTAAGGAGCAGAGCGGACTCCCACCCAGACCTCGAGTGCAGCACCTGGGCACCCACCCTCTCGGGTATCACCCCCCCGCCCGAGGGCCTGGCGCCCGTCATGTCCCACCCGGGCGTTGGCGTCGGGCCCCGGGCGCCCCCGACTGTCCCGGGGATGGGGATCCCCGCCGCGCAGAGGCCCGTCTTCCCCGGGTCCAGTCGGCGGCGGGAGACGGGGCGGCGGCCGCTGACAGCGAAAGCGAAACAAAGCTGGTCGCCCGGGGCGCACCCTGCCGCCGGCCGACGCGGACGGCCCAGGTCCGGCGCCCCCGCCGTCCCCATCCCCCGCCCCGGCCGAGGCCGCGCCCCACCCCCCCCGGGAACGGGCCCGGCCCCGCCGGCGGGGAACGCGCGCCACGGCCCCACTCACCTCCGGCCTCCATGGAGGACGCGCGCGGCCCCGCGGCAGGCGGCGGGCGCCTCAGCCCCCCGGGCCGCCGGCCCTCATGCCGCCCCCGCGCCGCCCGCCCCCGCCCCGGCCCCGGCCCTGGCCCCGGCCGGG